TACCCAGGGTTACAGCTTGAGGCTCTGTCTAAAAAAAAAAAAAAGAAAAAATTTCAGACTATTACAGGGTTACACCCATTTTGGTTACATAGTTTGCTTTTATGTATTTTACATCAAAGTTATAAACGTGCCCTTCACCAGAAAGTGTGTGATGTGCCCATTAGGTGTGAATTTACCCGTCCCCCATCCCCCCTCCCATCTACTTAAACTCTATTGAGTTTTGCTTCCATATGTGTCCGTAAGTGTTGACTGATTAGTTCCAGTTTAGTACTGAGAACATGTTGTGTTTGTTTCTCCATTTTTGTGATACTTCATGTAGGAGAATGGTCTCCGGTTCCATCTAGTCTGTTACAAAAGATACCAGGTCACCATTTTTTATGGCTGAGTAGTATTCCATGGTATATACACCACTCACGTGTGGATGGGCACTTGGGTTGTTTCCACATCTTTGCAAGTGTGAATTGTGCTGCTATAAACATTCAAGTGCAGATGTCCTTATGACAAAGGGTCTTTTTTTCCTTTGGATAAATACCCAGTAGTGGGATTGCTGGCTCATATGGTAGGGTCTACTCTTTTCTTTTTCCAAAGGGATTTTCTATTTTATTAGATTTAAAAAACACAACAAAACCAGTGGGAACTAGAGGAAAAAGTGAAGAAGAAAATGAAGAAAAGGCTTGGGTAAAGAATAGAGATGACAAGGTAAGAAACTGGGAGAGACGGGGGGACGTCAAGAGCCCTGAGTCAGGGCAGTAGGGTCTGCTCTTAATTCTTTGATGCATCTTCTTACTGCTTTCCATAGAGGTTGTCCTGGTTTGCAGTGCCACCAACAGAGTAAAAGTGTTCCTTTCTCTCCGCATCATTGCCAGCATCTGTTGCTTCGGGACTTTGTGATATGCACCGTTTTCCCTGGAGTTAGATGATATCTCAGTGTGGTTTTGATTTGCATTTCCCTGATGATTAGAGATATTGAGCATTCTTTCATGCCAAATTGCCCTCTTGAAAGTTTATTCAAATCCATACTCCCCTTGGCAGGCTGTATGTGCCAGTTTGCCAATGCCCTTGCCAACTGTGAATGTTATTTTTTTAAATCGTAGCGATTTCAATAAGAGAAACTGTTCTTTCGTGTAGTGAATGTTAATAGTGCTGATGAACGAAACTTTCTGTGTATGTTGCCTGAATAGTTCCGTTTGACCATCCAGACACTTTCCAGGTGTATTCCATATATTTTGGAATCTAATCACCTATTTCTTGCCTTTCAATGTTTTTCAGTTACGGCAGTGGCCTGACTCTTATACAAAGAAGTTTGAACACAGAATCTACCCCATCACATTTTCTGTTGGAAACCCTCAGGAATGGAAGAAGTTATTCAAACCCTGTGCTGCCCAGAGGCTCTTTCTTCCGGTAAGGAACACCTGTTTTTAATAAGGTGTCGCTTGGGAGAGACTTGCCCCTGGAACCATGCTGCAATTAGCTGGGATGTGTTTACAGACAATTTAATAGACAGCTGAGAATGCGTCTCTCTTGGATTCTCTAGTTCATGTTCTTAGTCTCCTGTGGGAAAAGAAGGTCCCTGTGTTGTAGAAGTTGCCTTCCCCAAAGACTGAAGGTCTGAGAACATCCAAATCCTGATTTGAATTATGGGTCTTTGTAACTCTGGCTCTGCCATTCACTGGCTGTGGGAACCTCAGGAAATCCCCCAACTTCCCTGAGCTTCAGTTTATGAAGCTTGGCGTACCGCTTCCCGCCCTCACTAATTGTTCGCTTGGCTATTGTTGTTTCTCTCATAACAATAACAGCTACTTTTTATAGTTGTGCTAGGGTGACAGTCAGAGAGGGTGCAGAATATTAATGTAGCCTGTTTTGAATTTTTAAACAGCATGTTTTTGTTTCCTTTTTTAAAAATCCTAAATGAGAAGATCAGTTCAGATATATCAAAACTGAGGATATCATTCTGCAGAGATGGCAACTCTGAATTCTGAGTTGCAGCCTTAATATTTCAGTAAACATTTGTTGAGGGCCCATTAGATGCTAGGCCCTGGCTTAGTGATGGAGATATGGGGGTGAAGAAGATAGCATGGTCTTGCTCCCCTGGAGCGTGAGTCTGGCAGAGCCCTGAGCAAGGTAGTTGTGATAAAAGTGTTCAGTGCTGAGGTAGAGGACAGTCTCATGGACCATGGGCTTCCATCTGCCCTGGGGGAGATTGCAGAAGGTTCTCCTGAGGTAGTGCTATCAACATAAAGGGGAGTAGGGATTACTGGCTACCTGGGGTCTGGAGGATGATTAGAGAGAGGAGAGTTCTAGGCAGCTAGAACAGTATGTTCAAAATCCCTGACCTGGGAAGGGACATGTTTAAGAAAATAAAAGATGGCTCGGCGCCTGTGGCTTAAGTGGCTAAAGCACCAGCCACATACACCTAAGGTGGCAGGTTCGAATTCAGTCTGGGCCGTCAAACAGCAATGATGGCTGCAACCAAAAAAAAAAAAA